GAGACCTCTCTGTCGCACCTCTTTGCCACCGGGTGGGTGCCAAGGGCGCTGCTCCCGAGCTGCTGCCAGAGGCGGAACAGCCCTTCCCTGATTCTGCCTTCACTCAACCCTTTGAAATGTGCTCTGCAGACCAGTTTAAGTGACACGAACATGTTAATTGCTGTAAATGGAACAGCTGAGCAGAAATATGCTCTACTGACCTCTAATTAAGCGCTATACATTTGGCACTTGAGTCAGAATATGGTTATTATTTATTGTCTTGGCAAAACACAATCTGCTGGTTTCAGCCATTTCTTCCTCGTTCCCATTTTTGCTGTGTGTGGTGGGTGAGACATGAGCCAGTCAGAGCTGCTCTCAGCTCAAAGCTGTGTTCTAGACAGAGTGTTATTAGTCCTTCATGAATATGTATTCATTCCTCAAACTTTTGAGTCTGTTTAAATTATAAAACTTCTTTGCTGGAAAAGCTTAATTGGGAAATCAGCTGCATATTGTACCCCTGTGGGAATATGCAAGTGGCTGCAGATGGAGTCACCGGCCTGGCTTCCCTTTTGGGGCAACTTAAGCTACAATGTCAAAGCAACAGCTTCAGTTTTGTAAATACAATACCTGTCCTTCTTTTATGTTAGGGTTTTTTTCCCCCTTCTGTATTTATCCACTAGCAACTGCTTATTCAGTATTTTAAGATTCTTTTAAATTTTAATACCAAATGAATGTAAAGAGAAAGGAAAGCAAAAAAGGAGACAAGAAGTGTAACACCTATGTAATCCATGTGGTACAGTGAGCCCGATTTGGAGAGCTGTTCTGTGGTGCCCTCTAGGATTTGAGAGCACTGGAAAACGAATCCTGACTCTTCATTTTCCCAAAGCAAACACCAACCCACGAGCCAGACACATGGCAAATGCAGTTCAATGATATCAAGCCTACCACGCCAGCTTAGGGAAAAGCCATCTTGCTCCTCTGAGGATCAGCTGTATGACCCAAAGCAGAATTTATTTTAATGAAGGACTTGGATTATTGTGTAAAAAAGTAATAAAATATGCAAACCGATGCTATTAGTAGAGGAGAAGCCTTTTAGTTTCTCTATCCCTTTGTAAGAGCCGTTTCACTAGTGACTTCTCAGAGCCACTGCTCGCTGCAGCTTCTCGCAGCAGCTTCCTTGAGTTTCCTGTCTTGAGCAAATTCTGAGTCACGCCGAAGCCGTGCCGATAGCATCAGCAAATGCACGCTGCGAACTCCAGCCTGCTCTGCTCCCCTCGGTTACCTGAGCAGCGCTGCAAATCCAAACTGGAAAGGCAAAAGGTTAGAGCAGCAATTCCGGGAACACGCGGCTGCCAAGGCAGGAGGCACTCCTGGGCTCTGGAAAGGCAAAAGGTTGGAGCAGCAATTCCAGGAACACACGGCTGCTGAGGCAGGAGGCACTCCTGGGCTCTGGAAAGGCAAAAGGTTGGAGCAGCAATTCCGGGAACACACGGCTGCCAAGGCAGGAGGCACTCCTGGGCTCTGTGCTGCTGCCAGAGCCAGGCTGAGGTGCAGGCAAGGCCGGGCAGGGAGCGGGCCCTGGGCAGCTGGAGGGTGATGTGCCCAGGGGTGTGCCCTGCCCAGGGATGTGCTTCACCCAGGGATGTGCCCTGCCCAGGGGTGTGCCCTGCCTGGAGGATGATGCTCTGCCCGGGGATGTGCCCTGCCCAGGGATGTGCTCTGCCCGGAGGATGATGCTCTGCCTGGAGGATGATGCTCTGCCCAGAGGATGTTCTGTGTGTGCTGCCTCGCCCAGGCACCTGTGGGTCACACTGACCTCAGGGGGAATGCTGACATGACAGAGAGACACCCTGGGGAATCTGTGGCTGCATGGAGAGGTGACAGCTGCACTGGTGGGACATTCCTGGTGTACCAGTGTGTGCTGAAGGATGGATACAGAAGTGCAAACACCTGAAGGCAGACGTGCTCAGTATTGGATCCATCCTTCCCATTCTTTACCTGCAGTACTCTTGATCTGTTACTACATGCTCCAAACTCAGATTTATAATCTTCGCTACCAGGGCAGGATTTTCCGAGATACCAGACTCATCCCTGTAACTTTTTTCTGAGTGTCATCTCATTTTCCAATGGCTCTTGGGAAGGGTGGGCCGCTGAACAGACTGGTTGTGATAGGGCTGACGGGGATTGCAGGCACCCAGCTGCCTCCCTGCCCGGCAGGGTCGATGGCACACCTGCACCCGAGCAGCCTGTGCTGTCCAGGTACTCCTCCCTGCTCGCACGGGCAGCCTGCTCCTCAGCACGGCCCTTCTGAGCCTGCTGGCCCTGGGAATGCAGATCCCACAGCCTGGCTACAGCACTTTGCACATTCTGGCTGCGCTGCTTCAGCTGCAAAAGGTCCAAACGGATGAGTAAAGAACAAGGCAGATTTTTTCTCAGCCACTCTGTTCCACGCCTTCTTCCACAGCCAGCAAACGAGTGCTTTCCTGCTTGCCACGCCGAGCTGTTCTTATTTTGGAGCACAACATGAAGCATGTTGCATTAGCACCTTTCCTCCATCGCTCCAGCATATGCCTGGAGCTGACTTGGTTTCTGTCTGGTAGAGCTGGAGCTGAATTCCTTCCAGCTCTGCCTCTTAATGCATTTTCTGCAAAATCTGGGATTTTATACCACTGATTTCCATTAAACTGAATGTTTTGTTCCGTTAACAGCCGATTGAACCCAAACGGATGATCTATCCCTAACGAGGAACCAAAGTGTGCTGGAGCACGAATGGAAATTCCCAGTCAACCCAATTAGTGCTGAGCTGTTTGGTGTGGGGGAGTGTGGAGGGAACAGGCTGCTCCTGGATCCAGCTGCTGCTACCTGTTGGTGCTGGTTGTGAGGAAGACTCAGATGCCTGTCTGCCAAGGGGCCCAGACCAGGAGCAGGCTGAGAGCTGGTGGAAAGGACCCTGGTCCATGGCCACCACACACCTGCCCGTAGGGAGGGAAAACATGCACGTTGACACACACACAGAGGGTGTAAGGCACGCTGCATCTCACCCGGGAGAGCTGCTGGAAAGGACAGGTGAGCACAGAGCTCGGGGGCAAGTGCAGAGCTTGGAGATCGAGCTGCTCTCAACTCCCCACCACAGGACACCTTCCCTGCTGCAAAAATTCCTATTTCACACTTTACCTCAATTGCCTTGTGACCTACCTATTGGCTTCCGGAGAGCTTGGTTCGCCTTCGCCTTAGGAAATTCCTTAGGTCAAACATCAATTTACCACACTGTTTTCCTTCTTCAGTTCCTGAAGATTCTTTTATTCCTTTTTCATGTGCCACAGAAGACAACATCTCTTCCCAGCGCTCATTTATGCACCCTGCAGGCTTTCCACGGGGAGCCCAAAATACAATTTATTTCATTTTAAAATACTTCTGCCCTCAGAGCATAAAACACGTTACAATATTCCCTTTACAGCGCACCATTCCCCTTTCCCCTTTTGAAGGGCAGGTTTCTAGTGGGCAGCTCTGCAGCAGCCCCAGGGCTCCCCAGGAGCTGCTGTGCAGAGGGGAGCCCGTGTGCCCGGGCAGCCGTGCCAGGGGAGGGGAGGGCAGCGGGAGGGGCCGTGCCAGGGGAGGGGAGGGCAGCGGGGCAGCCCTGCCCGGACCCGGCCAGCCCCAGCCCCGCTGTTCGCCCTGCCTCGGAAACCAAGCGGGAAGCGGCAGCTGCAGAGCTGATGAGGATAATGAGACGTGTCCGTGGCACAGAGGACACGCGGGATGCCAGCGGGATGTGCCCGGGGAGAACGGGAGAAAGGAGCTCGCTCCGCGCTGTGCCCGGCAGGAGGGTGCGGCGGGGCCGGGCTCTGCTCCCGCACAACGGGCAGGACAAGGGGAAAGCGAACCCGGGCTGTGCCAGGAGACCCTGGATAGCGGGAAAATCCCTTCATCCGAAGGGTTGTGCAGCCCTGGCACAGCTGCCGGGGC